CCAAGCAGCTTGGTTAACGTTACTTTTGACTAAACGCAATATATTTATACTGCAACAAGGATCCATGCTAAATGTTGGATAAAAATGAACTAATGGTTTTATATGACAAAATCAATATTTCAACAAAAAAAATAAAAGAAGATCAGGAGGATCTTAAAGCTAATATTAAAAGACTTAAAATCTATTTATCACCTTATTCCAAATGATGGTTTCCATGTTATAATAAAACAATAGGCAATAACTATCAGTTTTATTTATTCTACAAGGAACCAACCAACAAATTAACTTATTTTATTGAAAATAATGAAAAAAATATTATAAGAAATAATATAAAATATAAATAAAGGAAATAAAATTAAAACGTTGAATCTATAATTAAGACCACAGTAATGAAGGAACCACGTAATTTTTCGGACGCTATTATCTTAGTTTTGCAACAGTGAGGGTTGGTCCCCTGTTGCATAACACAATTCATTTAACATTGCACATTTTTACACTTATCACAAAAATCGCATTTTGTCAGTCTCAAACATATTTTTAACTTAAGTTCCTACTTAAGTTGATCTACATAATATTATTTACATATTTAGTACAAAATAGTTAACAACAATTTTATCACAGAAATGTAACATTGGCTATATACATTGGTCAGGTGGACAAATATTTATCACAGAAATTGTACATTTTATACATTGGTCAGCAGTCTCTTTATGGGACGGATTACAAAATGAAGTCTAAAGACCCGGACAACAATCGGGATTTCCTGGTGAAATCATGATGATATCACAACGTGATTTTTTTTATCACGCTGTGGTATCCTGAGTGCATACACATGCTTCATCACAGTGATATCATGTAGAACTCATGGTGTGATATTTGCAAAATTTGCGCATGCGTATATATGAGCCCTGCGAACTGCGAATTTAATACCTAGTTTGTTATTCACATTAGACCGTTATAATTTATACAACGTTGTTTGAATATCACGAATATTCTCCGGGTTCAATTAAAAAAGATATTCCAATTTTTAACAAAACGTGAACGTTTTGTAAAACATTGGAATATCTTTTTTAATTGAAATCAAAGTTCAAAGTTATAACTTTGTTCTGGGAGAAAGATGCCCTGCCCTAGATGAACCTTAATAAAATAATCCATAGAAAATTACAAAAACATGCACTAATTACTTTACATTCACTGTGTACGTTAGGCCGTCGTCCACAAATTTTACTTAAGCAAACATTCTAGAATATAATTATAAGATATAATATAATTATGATATATAATAAACATACATATTATAAAACAAGAAAATTAAAAACACAAAGCTATAGCTTGGGTAGGTATACCTACCAGTTTGTAGTTAATACAGTTAATACCTACAATACAGTGTAATTACATAAAAATAAATAATAATAAAAAATAATAATAACTGTTATTATCTATGAACTTACCTATACAAATGAAGTAAAGCCAAAAATTTTGGCACAAAAACCTTTATGATCTGTGACAAACACACAACAACCATAGAAAAAGAACAACAACAAAAGCCACAATGCTTCGTATCATGTAGTCATACGCGTAGCCTCCTTCCCAAAACGAGTACAACCAAACTTTGATTGCATAGTTAATTGATTTGTTTGGTAGGTATTTAAAATTAAATTTGGGTACCATATAAAAACTAATTTAATTTTTAAACGCATATAAATCTACATTTACCCTATTAAGACCGAAAGATATACAGGGTGTCCCGGAAAATGTGGGAAATCTCTCGGATTCAGATAGAACATTAAAAAATAAGATGACAAGTTCCCATAAATTTTTTTCCTAGCGGCCCTCCCTACGGAGATACGGCCTCCTAAAGGACGCCACTGGAAATCAGATTTTCTTGAATAACTTTTAAACTACTTAATATAATTTAATGAAAATTTAATAGGATAAACAGTAGTAAGGACCTCTTAAAATACTGTCCTTAAAACATAATTAGCTTGTTTAGTTTACCAGGGGCGGACTAGGTTGTACATTTTAATGCTTACATTTTTAACACCCTGTATGATAGGGAGTTAAAAAAAATAAATTTGGATACCTTGAACATTAAGCTAAAGAAAAGGTACTCTTGTTTATTGTCCATAAAATGAACCGTTTTCGAGAAAAAAAATAATAAAGAATTAATGTTTTATTTTTATTAAAAAGAACCATGATTTCTAATTGTTTGTCTGCAACAAAGTGTGATACGAAAGTCATTCAAGAAACAGAAAAGTTTTAGTTTAGGTTATTTAATCCGACAAAATTACAAGATTCTTAAAAATTCAGTCTTGTCCCAGAAAGGCACCTTAACAAAAATTAGAAATATGTTTTTCTTGAAATTATTTAAAAAAACAACCTTAAAAAATAATGTACAGAAAAATTAAATTAGAAATAATCAATTAAAAACTTCATAAGTGGGTTCAATATGGGCTTCGTGAACTCTGATACACTCGCGGGCACGACGAATAGAGGACTGCTGTACTCGCCACAACAACCCAGCATTGTTCCTTATCGCATCACAATGAAATGTGATTATCTGTAAAAGTTCCTCCCTAGTATCAACCGGAGAGGAATACACCAAGGTTTTGAGATGTCCCCACAGGTGAAAATCCATTGGCGTTAAGTCGGGAGAGCGTGGAGGCCAGGCAATGGGACCTCCTCTGCCTATCCAACGGTTTGGATAGACGTTATTCAGATAGTCCCGTACAGCAACGCTAAAATGAGGTGGGGCTCCATCATGCATAAAATACATGCGCTGGCGGGTTTCAATTGGCAAATGCTCTATTGAATCCAGAAAAGCATTCTGAAGGAACTGTAAATAAATTTCACCATTCAATCGTGGCGGCAATACGCATGGTCCAATCAAAAAATTGCCAATTATTCCTGCCCAAACATTAATTGATTGGAACTGATATTGATAATGATGAACAACAGTGGCATGAGGGTTTTCATCAGCCCATACATGCGAGTTATGTAAATTTACAATACCATTTTTGGTAAACCCTGCTTCATCGGTAAAAAGAATAGAGCTAATGAAGTTTGGATTTGTCCGTTGCTGATCTAACATCCAGTTTGCGAACTGGATTCTACGAGGAAAATCTTGAGGAAGTAGTTGATGCACTTTTTGCAAATGATAAGGTTGTAACAACTGTTCTTTAAGTACTTTATGAATTATCTTTTTTGACGTATGAAGCTGCGAGGCTAATCTTCGAGTGCTTATTGAAGGAGTATCAGCTACACTATCCAAAATATTTTCCTCCAATTGCACCGTACGTACTGTTCTTCTCACACCAGCATCAGTACTTGTTTTCCCAAAACTTCCTAAAAATTATTAAAGAAAGTCAATAATGTTGCCTTATTAACTGAGAATCGCCCACCAGTCTCTCTTAGACGTTGATCAAGTCGCTGAAATGTTTTCTGATTTGGAATATTGCCATCAGGATATCTTTCTTCATACAACCTTCTTGCTTCCAAAGCATTGCAAGATGCAAGCCCGTACATAAGATGCATATTTGCATACTCACTAAATGTGTATCCCATTATTTAATTAAATTTACCAAGATATTCAAAATTCAATAAATTAATATCGAAGTAAAGGATCAACGTGCCAACAATATGAAAGATGACAAGATTTAAAATACACACGTCAATGCAAGATATTTATTATTTCGTAGGTACCATAGTAACGTTTGTAAAAACAGTGCGTTTTTTAATGCTAATGACAGTTTTATTTCAATTACTTTCGAATCACACTTTGTTGCAGACAGTGTTAGGTACAACATTTTTTCTACAAGCGTGCGGAAAGTGTTTCCACACGCATAATCGTGCGGAAAGTTGCACTTTTCCGCTTGTAGAAAAAAAATAGAAATCATGGTCTTTTTAATAAAAATAAAACATTAATTCTTTATTATTTTTTTTCTCGAAAACGGTTAATTTTATCGACAATAAACAAGAGTACCTTTTCTTTAGCTTAATGTTCAAGGTATCCAAATTTATTTTTTTAACTCCCTATCATACAGGGTGTTAAAAATGTAAGCATTAAAATATACAACCTAGTCCGCCCCTGGTAAACTAAACAAGCTAATTATGTTTTAAGGGCAGTATTTTAAGAGGTCCTTACTACTGTTTATCAAATTAAATTTTCATTAAATTATATTAAGTAGTTTAAAAGTTATTCAAGAAAAACTGATTTCCAGTGGCGTCCTTTAGGAGGCCGTATCTCCGTAGGGAGGGCCGCTAGGAAAAAAATTTATGGGAACTTGTCATCTTATTTTTTAATGTTCTATCTGAATCCGAGAGATTTCCCACATTTTCCGGGACACCCTGTATAGGGATATCCCTATAGAACGATCATAAAACATTTGACAAAATTTTGTTAAAACCTATGGGTAAAAAAACTAACTTCTTCATTTATGTGTATTTTCCCTATTGATACCGACAAATAAATCAAGGATATCCCATAAATCCCAACTATGTGTCCTATTCATCCACCCTATAGAAACACCATACATTCCAATACAAAAATCTATCAGTTTTAACAGGCACTCTATGTGACATTTTAACCAGGGTGGCTCACTAAACGCATGCAGGTGCAGAAGAATGAAAAAAGGCCCTAATAGACAATATACTAGACCACTACAACCTGGACATCACAGCGCTACAAGAAACGCACATGAGTTGGCGTCATTGTCCCCCAAACACCAAAATGTCTGTTCCCCCGTCCCCACCTCCTTTTGTTCCTACTAGGCGTACTGGGTCGATCGGAAAAAATATATTTTTCCATTTTTTGCTTAGAAACCAATATTAAAGACGATTTTAATTTTTTAAATTTAAAAGTGACCAAGTTAGAGCTTTGATTATTTGAGTTAAAATGACCAGATCAATATATATATATATATATATAAATATTTTATACACCCTGCAACCTCACAACTTGCAATCTCAATTTTAAAATCTGACTATTATTTTAATTACAGCTTGAGTGTTGTGGTGCTGAAAAACCTAGCGACTGGATGAACACTGGCGAAATTAACTATGGAATAACCAATTCCAAATCGACTTATTCCATCCCAGAAAGCTGTTGCCGCAAATCCATAAGCAAGGATCAGTGCATTTCGGCTACACACGACTTGAAAATCGGCAGCCAAATCAATTACAGTTCTATCTATGAGAAAGGCTGCTACACTTTAATCATTGAAAAACTCAAGGACTACGTAAACGTTATTCTTGGCGTTGGAGGGGCTATTCTTGCAATCGAGCTTCTTGGTTTGATTCTTGGATTATGTTTGGCCTTCTCAATGAACAGGCCAAACCGCTACAAGGCTTAATTGTAAGCACAAAATTCGTTTAGCAAAATATTGCATTAATTAACTTTACGTACAAATGTCGTTTAAATTTAAAAAAGAGCGTTATTTTCAGAGACGTTTATACCAAAAAATTATATTTATCTATTCTTGAACTGTACAAATCTATGTTTATCAAATACATGTATTATTTAGATTTTTTAGGTAATGGCTCTGAAATATACCATTGTGCCATATTTTTAAAGTTGTAAACCTTTATTTAACATTAATGCAGTTATTTATAATTGCTTTAAAAAGTGTTACTTGGTGATTTTTTTAATGGCGGAGATGCACTTCGATACGTTGTAAGCGACCATTAAGAAAGTTAGGAAAAATAATTAAAAAAATCTGTCTGCTTTCTTCTTTTAGATATTTGTTAAAGACGGAATAAGAAATACTAAGGATGGTGGATATGCTATTTAGACTACTTCTTGTTATACAAAAGTGTGGTTAAAACTGCTTTACAATTTTCATTATACGAGGTGAAATCAGAAGGAATTTTACACATTTGATTTTGTTGGTACTGTATTTCAATATACTTTAATATTTTTAATATTTAAAATTGACACTCCTGTTCAATGCCTTAATTTTACTTAACATTCGCATTTTTAAATATAAATATATTTCCAACAATTAAATATAAAAGATAACAGAAAATTCTAAACAAAAAGAAATTTTAAAAACAACAGCATTTTGATGAAATTATTAATTTTTGCTGCAAAAATCCATATATCTACCACTGATAGATATATGCATGAATCCACCAAATTATTTTGTTTTACTCAATGCACAGAACATAAGACTCAATGTAGCCAATTATAAATTTAGGGTCCCTAGAGTTTTGACGTCAAATTCCGAATAAAAAAAAGAAAGTGTAGGTCCATGTCAATAAATGGCTTAAAATCGTTGCCAACATATTCATAGCACCTTGATGGAAAAATAAAACCAAAAGGAATTATTTGAGCACTTTACCACAAATAACAGTTAAGGACACATAACGTTCTATTAAAAATGTTGTCAAGTTTCCAAAAATGAAGAATTTGGGTTCTCAATCTCTTCATATCTTGGTGGATTGAGTAGAATTTTTATTATTTTTTACCTGACTTTATCAATGGTCCCCTTAAACAAACCAAAGAGCTCCGCCATTAAAATATCACCATATAAGTATATAAAAAAAAGTTTGTTTAGCCCATTGAAATACTAAAAGTGTTAACAGCAATTGTATACATTAACTACATTTTATTTTTTTGTAGATAGATTTACCCTTAATTTTAGATTAGGTTCATCACTATTTTAATGAGTTTCCGCAAAAAACAGCATTAATTCATAAACAAATAATTTATACCATTTTTATGATTTATTAACAAGGAGTGAGTTAATATTAAAACTAAAATATTTATAGAGTTACTTTGCTAGTCCATTTATTAAGACGTTTTTAAATTATATTTTAAAATATGCCCAAAAAACAATCTCATAGTACTTAATGTTAGTTTTTTTATTTGCCGTCTTAATAATATTCTCCTTACTTAATATAACATTTGTTATTATGTAAACCAAACCCTTCAAAATAGAATTACAGGGGTTATTAGTAATACTCATTCATACTTATTAATTCACATAACCATGACTTAATTGACTGATATTTATTTAAAGTTTAAATAAGCCAAATATATGTATTCTGCTGCCACTAATATATGTTTGCCAATACTGTAGTTATTGCTATGTGATAAAAGCGAACCACCGCCCTCAAATATCAGGAAGGGCCCTTTTTACTTGGTTTAACATTCCGACATTTTCAGTGCACAAAATGGCATTTGGTGTGAATAGTAGTAACCAATGCGTAACCAATGCATGTGGTTTATTACCAACTTAACTTTCTTCATAGAATAGTGTAGCATTAAATCATTGTGGTGTTAAATGTACCCGAAATCAATGATCAAAAGTGTTTATTATTCATACATACATATAAGGAGATCACTGCATTTCAAGTGTTCATAACTTAGAATCTGTTTGATACAATACTTTTTCATAATTCTAGTTTATTTAAGCACAATCAAATTCTGCTATTTACAAAATTCGCGTTTCATTTCTACTGCCAAATTTTAAAATTGCTTTCTGACTGAAATAGCAGAAGTGTTTTATACTTAGGATATATGTTTAAGACTGTAGTTGTGCCAATATATGTATTGTCCAATAGATCAAATATAGTACAGAAGAATTTAGCTATATTATATTACATAAGATATCTATACTATACCTTTTGTGTTGGTTTTGTATTTTTTTAATGTTGAATCCTAATTATTTAATTTTACAAAGGTAATGCGAAAATACAGCATATCTTCTCTGAATATCTAAGTTGAGGAAACCCTATTTTTATATTTTTCTAAAAACTGAAAATGTGGTTGTGAACTAAAACAAGCCAGGGAATTGCGAAAATAATAAAATGGTAAAGATTGTATTTGGAAACTAGAATTAGGTTCTGATTTGGCAAAATTCGAATAATATCATATACATATATAATAATATATAAGAGGTAATAGGTAATTACCAAACTGGGCTAATTTAGCACACTTTATTAAAAAAATAGAAAATATTCCAACTTAATTGGACCAGTTTGGAAAATTAAAATGCAATGTACAGAAAGATATAACGTTGTTTTCTTATGTTATAGTATATTTATAACATATTTAGTTTTTTAATACCTTAATATTTTATTTGTTGTTTTTTGTGTTGTACAATGAAATAAATATTTAATTTAATAAAGGTTTTTGTTTTAAAAATCTCAAAACCCTTAAAAAAATATATTATTTAAAAATAACCTAAACATGTTTAGCTGCAGCATCTCTGAGTTTGGATTTTTCTCAGTTTACCTCGCGCTGATTTCTCATGCATTTTGCTAATGGCGTGAGAAAGAAATCATTTTGTGATATAATTCGAAATTAAGTGGCGCGGGCATACGCACAGACCGCGCCATAGAAAATGTTCGCTTTAAAGCGCGCGTTCAAAGTATAGGTCCATACTAACTGAGATATTTCAAAGTTTCAAGTTAAATGACTCACCCTGTTTAGAGGCGAAAAATATAAAAACAAAGCACGATTCAATGCAGTTCTAATAAATAAAGGCACAACAATAATATTTTTAGTCAGCTTAAACTAAAAAAAGGTTTACAAAAAAAATGTTTTTATACAATATCGATTTAAATAATGATGTTAGTGTCACTTGAAAATAGAGTGTTTTGAAATTTTCGATCCTCTTCTGCTTTCCAGGGGCGTCCGTTATGGGCCGGTATCTTATATTAGGCTCTTACTGCCCAGTTACAAGTTTTTACGTCCTTGAGCTTCTCGAAGCCATCCACTCACGGACATGTGGAATTTCAAATCTTGAAACATCCACTAAATCGATTGCACAAATCACAAAATACCTTGCTGAAAGGTCAAAGCTTGCGATATTGTCAAAAAATACCGGTATATTTCTATACCGGGTCAAAGTTAACTATTTTCAGACTTTTTCATGGAGCGATGTACAGCCGTTGAAGGATAAAATCGAACTCCAGTTATTGACCTAAAGTTCATTTTTTTTATTTGGTCTCGTGTTTTTTTGGTAGTTGGTAGCTTATGCCAGTCTGATTTAGTATTTAAAAAATTGTACTTCTGCTGAAGACCTTAATTACCCGGACAACAATCGGGATTTCCTGGTGAAGTCATGATGATATCACAACGTGATTTTTTTTATCACGCTGTGATATCCTGAGTGCATACACATGCTTCATCACAGTGATATCATGTAGAACTCACGTTGTGATATTTGGAAAATTTGCGCATGCTTATGAGCCCTACGAACTGCGAATTTAAAACCTACCCGGACAACATTCGTGATATTCAATAAATATTATTCATACGAACATCATGTCGTGATTTTCAAAAAATTTATTCATACTGATATCATACGGAAGTCACCACGTAATAAATAAAAATCATACGAACGTCACGTCGTGATTTTCACAAATTTTGTTCATCCGGATGTCACTGCGTGAGAAATGAAAATCATGTCGTGATTTTTTTTGCCAACGGTGTTTGGATAATTATTTTTGCGCCACGTTCGTACACTAAGAGAAAAATTATGTTGAATCAACAGTTTTTGCGGTTAAATACCTTTAATATTTTCTTGGATTTAAATTAACTATATATAATTAATTTAAATCCAAGAAAATATTGAATGTTAAACTGTTGATTCAATTGTTAACATACTTTTTCTTTCAATGTACGAATGTGTCGCAAAAATGAATATCCAAACACCAATGACATAAAAAATCCTGTCATGATTTTTTATGACCAAACACCGATGGCATAAAAAATCATGTCGTGAGGGGAGCTACAGCCCCCGAAAGGGGAGCCCCTGAAGATGGTTTTTATTTAATATCTCCAAAACTGTTTAAGATAGAAAAGTGAAATTTTGGCATATAATCAAACTTTTTATAGTCAATAAGTTGGAATAATAACAAATTCAAAAAAAATCATAAGGGGTGAGTCAGATAGAAAGGGTATGTATCTTGTGCTATGATTTGATATCAGATCATAAAATTTCAGAGTTTTACACACAAAAAAGGTCCTCTTGATGAACTTCGATAGCATGCACCGTTTTCGTTTAAAATCGATTTAAAAATTACCTTACATAGCATAAAAATTCATAATGAAATCACAACTAGAGAAAAAGATTCAGCGTAGGCCATGGACAATTTTTAAACATGGCCATGGACAATTTTTAAACATCCTGTCACATATTACATGAAACTGTCACCTGTCTTAAATAATTTTTCCTAAAGATGGCAGCTGTGTTCCATGGCCTACTCTGAATTTTTCTCTCTTGAATTTCATTATGATCTTTTATATATGCTATGTAAGGTAATTTTTAAATGGATTTTAAGCGAAAACAGTGGACAATATCAAAGTTTAACAAGAGGACCTTTTTTGTGTGTAAAATTCCGAAATTTCATAATCAGGCATCAAATCCTAGCATGAGACACGTACAAAAAGTTAGGGTGGTTTTAACCCCTATTCCCAACCCCTCATGAAAATTTTGAATTGTTATTATTACATCTTATTGGCCATAAAGTTTGATTAATTCCCAAAATTTTACTTGTCTACCCTGAACGGTTTTGGATATATTAAAAAAAACATCTTCAGGGGCTCCTCATTTAGGGGCTGTAGTTCCATTAGAAAGCATTTCTCGGCCTATATGTATAGGAAATTTTTTTCTTATTTTTGTACGTAGAATCTGCTGTTAAAGTATTGCACGCTAATTATGGGACACCCTGTATGTATATTGAATTAATAGTTAATTTACATCCAAGAAAATATTAAATGTAGTTAACCGCAAAAACTGTTAATTTAATTGTTAACATACTTTTTCTTTCAATGTACGAATGTGGCGCAAAAATAAATATCCAAACATGTCGGTGCACCAATGGCATAAAAAATCATGTCGTGATTTTTTATGCCATCGGTGTTTAGATATTTATTTTTGCGCCACATTCGTACATTGAAAGAAAAAGTATACCTACATATACGTATATACGTATATACGTACGTATGTAGGTATATACATATATATATATATATATATATACATATATAAAACTGTTTATTCAATATACATATATATATATATTATGTATATTGAATAAACAGTTTTTGTGGTTAAATGTATTCAATATTTTTTTGGATTTAAATTAATAGTTAATTTACATCCAAGAAAATATTAAATCTATTTAACCGCAAAAACTGTTAATTCAATTGTTAACATACATTTGCTCACAATGTACGAATGTGGCGCAAAAATAAATATCCAAACATGTCGGTGCACCGACGGCATAAAAAATCATGTCGTGATTTTTTATGCCCAAACACCGACAACATAAAAAATCATGTCGTGATTTTTTATGCCATCGGTGTTTGGATATTTATTTTTGCGCCACATTCGTATATTGAGAGAAAAAGTATACCTACGTATATATTGAATCAACAGTTTTTGTGGTTAAATACATTCAATATTTTCTTGGATTTAAATTAACTGTATATAGTTAATTTAAATCCAAGAAAATATTAAATGTATTTAACCGCACACCGTACGTGATTTTTTATGCCAACGTTGGCATAAAAAATCACAACATGATTTTGTAGGCCATCGGTCAATCGCAAATCGCGATGGCATAAAAAATTACGACATGATTTTCATTTCTCACGCAGTGTCATCCGGATGATGTCCGTATAAATAAAATTTGTGAAAATCACGACGTGACGTTCGTATGAATAAAATATGTGAGAATCAATATGTTTTAGTAAAATGTTAATAATAAACGAGATACAGGGAGATAAATGTGAGATCTGATTTTTGAAAATTTGTTATATTTGGAAAACTATTAAATGTATCAAACTCAAAAGGTGAACAAATTTGTCATAATTTTTTATGCTACTCA